TGCTGAATTCCCAGAGGAAGAGTTTTAAATCTTTATAAGGAAGAAAGAAGATGGAAACCAAATCAGACATTTGCCTGAGAGACATTCAAAGATATAGAGAAAGAAGTGAGACTGAGACAAGGAAAGCATCTTTATAAACATGAAGTAATTAAAATGGAAAATAAAATATCTATTAGTAACTATCTCAACATCACTTGGGCTCCCCTGGAGGCTCAGACAGTAAAGAATCTGCCTGTAGTGCAGGAGACCTGGGTTTAACCCCTGGGCCAGGAAGATCCCCTGGAGTGGGGAATGGCTATCCATTCCAGTATCCTTGCCTGAAAAATCCTATGGATAGAAGGGCCTGGTGGGCAGTCTGATGGATTGTCAAGAGTCAGACACAACCAAGCACATGCACGCACTATCACTAAAAAGTTCTCGAGCCAATTTCTACTATTGAGAATTTTATGATTGATCTTGGAGTAAGGGAAAGACTGGACAGTGATGAGCCTGATGTCTGTGTCCCCTCAAAATTTACATGTTGAAACCCTACTCCCTATAATGAGACGGCATTAGGAGTTGGGGCCTCTAGGGGGAAATTAGGATGAGATGAGAGTAGAATCCTCCTGAAAGGGATCAGTGTCCCTTTAAGACCCATAAGAATCCGTTGCTGTTCTCTGCTCTCCATCACATGAGTTACAGGATAACTGAGCGGTCTGCTCACCGGAAGCAGTCTCCCACTGGGACCCAGCCAGCCTGATACCCTGAACTTGGACTTCCAGCCTCCAAACCTGTAGGCATTAAGCTCCTGCTGCTCATAAAACCACTAAATCAAAGTAGTTTTGTTACAGCAGCTAGAACTGAGTGAGACAAATAAGCAGGCAGGCAGATGGAGATACTGATGCAGACATACACACATACTACTATCAGACAACAAGGAAAGTTAAGGGTTAACAGGAGAACTATCAAGGGAACACTTCATGCAAGGATGGGCATGATGAAGGACAGAAACGGTAAGGATCCAACAGAAGCAGGAGACATTAACAAGAAGTGACAAGAATACACAGAAGAACTATACAGGAAAGGTCTTAATGACCCAGATAACCATGATGGTGTGGTCACTCACCTAGAGCTGGATATCCTGGAGTGTGAAGTCAAGTGGGCCTCAGGAAGCATTACTATGAATAAAGCTAGTGGAGGTGATGGAATTCCAATTGAGCTATTTCAAATCCTAAAAGACAATGCTGTTAATGTGCTGTACTCAATATGCCAGCAAATTTGGAAAACTCAGCAGTGGTCATAAGACTGGAAAAGGTCAGTTTTCATTCCGATCCCAAAGAAAGGCAATGCCAAAGAATGTTCAAACTTCCACACAATTGCTCTCATTTCACATGCTAGCAAGGTAATGCTCAAAATCCTTCAGGCTAGGCTTCAACAGTACATGAACTGGGAACTTAATATGTTCAAGCTGGATTTAGAAAAGGCAGAGGAACCAGAGATCAAACTGCCAACATCCACCAGATCATAGAGAAAGCAAGGGAATTTCAGAAAAATATCTACTTCTGCTTCATTGACTATTCAAAAGCCTTTGACAGTGTGGATCAAAACAAACTGTGGAGAATTCTTAAAGAGGCAGGAATCCCAGACCACCTTACCTGCCTCCTGAGAAACCCATATGTAGGTCAAGAAGCAACAGGTAGAACTGGACATGGAAAAACTGACTGGTTCAAAACTGGAAAAGGAGTATGACAAGGCTGTATATTGTCACCCTGCTTATTTAACTTCTATGCAGAGTACATCATGCAAAATGGCAGAAACCACTCTAATGGCAGAAAGTGAAGAGGAACTTAATAAGGGCCTCCTGATAAGGGTGGAAGTGGATAGTGAAAAAGCTGGCTTAATACTCAACACTCAAAAAAAACTAAGGTCACAGCATCTGGTCCCATCACTTCGTGGTAAATAGGTGGGGAAAAAGTGGAAGCAGTGACAGACTGTATTTTGTTGGGCTCCAAAATCACTGCTGATGGTGACTGCAGCCATGAAATAAAAAGACACTTGGCTCCTTGGAAGAAAGGCTATGACAAACAGACAGCATATTTAAAAGTAGAGACATCAGTTTGCCGACAAAGATCTACATGGTCAAAGCCACAGTTTTTCCCGTAGTCATGTGTAGATGTGAGAGATGAACCATAAAGGAGGCAGAGCACTAAAGAATTAATGCTTTTGAACTGTGGGCTGGAGAAGACCCTGGAGAGGAGATCAAACCAGTCAATCCTTAAGGAAATAAACCCTGAATATTTTTTGGAAGGACTGTTGCTAAAGCTAAAGCTCCAACACTTGGCCACCTGATTCGAAAAACTGACTCATTGGAAAAGATCCTGATGCTGGGAAAAGGCTGAAGGCTAAAGGAGAAATGGACATGAATCTGAGCAAATTCTGGGAGATAGCAGAGGGCAGAGGAGCCTGGTGTGCAAGACATCCATGGTGTCACAAAGAGTCGGACATGACTTAGCAACTGAACAACAACATTAACTAGGGAATCATTTCCTAACATCAAGTATTGGGCAGAGACGGAGAAAGGTGTAATTCTGAACCCTCCAGTAGACCAGAATACTCGAGAAGGCTTCCCAAAAGTGAAAACTAAATTACACCCTGAAGACAGGTCAGGATTGTCTTGAGCAAAAAGGAAGGAGACATTTCAGGCAGAGGGAATCAACATTTGCAGTGAGCACCCAGGGGCTGCTTGAAGAGAGCACACACACAATCCTGGGAAGAGAAGAGAAAAGAAAAAAAAAAGGAAGTACTATGCGCTGTCACTTCTCTTAACTAGAATCCTAAGAGATGTACATCAGCGTGTGCCTAGAACCATGGTGGGAGGGGCAGGCAGGAGGTTATATCACGGTTTGCCAGCATCCTCAGGAAATACATTAGAAATACACACTTTCCGGCTCCCCTCTAACCCTAAGCATCACTCTTGGGGGTGGCGTCCAGCACTGTGGGCTTCACAAGTCCTGCAGAGCATCCTCATTGGGCTCAAGGAGGAGGAGCACTCCCCAACTTAATGAGAAATCTAGAATGAAACATGCTTACAAGTAAATCCTTTAAAAGATACACAGGAAACATTTTACATTCCTAAGACAGAGATGAGTTTTGTCCAGTGCCCAGGGGAAAAGATCAAGTTCTTCAAATAGCAGGAAGTGTCTATTAAAACAAAAATCTCCTTTCCAGACTGGATTCAACTACTTCTTTTGCCCTGTTCTTTTCGGGCCTCTCAAGCTTGGAGTTACCTTCTGTGACACTTTAAGATGCATGTGGGGACTTCCCTGCTGGTCCAGGGGTTAAGACTCTGTGCTCCCTATGCTCGGAGCAAAGGTTGGGGAACTAAGATCCCGCATGCTGAACATGGCCTGGCCTGAGACATAAAGCCGATAAATAAAGACTAAAGTTGTTTTTTTTTTAATCTGTATGAATAAGAAGCAGGGGGATTCACTCCACATTTGATTGACAGCCAAAAACATCAAGGTTTTCACGTTTCAGCAGTGGACGTGCTATGAACTGAGCGTGGGCTGCAACGGGCTCAGAATGCTACTTCTCCACAGAAGCACACGGAAGGACTGACCACACTGCTGTCCACGGACTGGGCAGTTACTGGCAAGATTGCAGGCCTGGTTTGTGCTTTAAAACACACACACACACTAACATACACCAAGTCCCACCGCTAGAGTGCCCTGAGTTACAGATTCTGGGTTCCTATGTGACCACTGTCTCTTTTGCTTGTAGCACAAAAGTGAAAAATTATTCTTACTTTTAAAAGACAGTAGTAAAAATGATAGGCCCATTTGAGTAACATGTAATTTAAATCCACAACACAGTCTTCAGCATTTAAATATATATACACATATGTGACGATCTTGGGGGGAAAAAAAACTCCTCTGGAGAACGTGTACCCATATTTTGAGTTCCACCTGGATTTTCAGTTAGATTTTCAAAGTCTTCAGGTCACCCCCAAATTTTAGGATAACACACCAGATTTGTCCCTGCCTCTTTTAATACTTAATAAGTTCATAATGATTTCATGTGAATCCAGCAGTAACTATAAAAAGCCAAGTACTGTGAGGAATAGTTTTCAATTCCATTTAAAGTCCCAAGAATGCTCAGCTAGGGTCAAATGACATCATTATCTATGACTTATTTTAAGCAACTTTGATTTTTTTTTTTAATTTTTTTAACTTTAAAGGCAGGACACCCAGATACTCTCAGGTTGAATTACAGATATATTTTTGGATGCCATTTGATTGACTAATCAACTAATGTCATGTAATTATTGGTGGAGTTGTTTTATTTTCCCCTCTCTGAGCATTTGTTTGAAATCTGATGTTTCACACCACCACCGATCTGCATTTACTCCACAACTTCAGGAAGCAGAGACACACCCTCAAGTCGTCAAACCAGGGCCGTGCGTGGTATTTTGTTTGTATTCGAATTGTTTGCCCTAATACACATAAGCATCTGCACATGCCTGGCACTAAACCAAACTGAGAAGACAAAATCAGATATTTCATCCATCAATTGTCGATTATACACGATCACACAGAGTAAACAGAGTAAGACATTAGTATGAAGCTCATAAAAATTCCTATCTTTAAGATATCATCCTATAGAAAACTTAAAAGTCTACTGATCACAAGGCAAGCATTTTCGTCTTCCTAAAAGTCTGCGGTAACTAATGAGAAAACCTCCCGAGCAGGGTAATAACAAACTTCCTTTGTGCAACCCCAAACTTCCACAAACTGAACTTAAAACAGATTTGAAATAGCATCCACCCACCACTTCCATACTGGAAACACACAGACCCTATGCCCGTTGGTTTATGGACCCTCTTCTCTTTGGCATCCCCACAGATTAAGAGAACAAGGGTCCTGAGATTTAAGGCTGTAGGACTGACCTGGCACATAACACTTCAAAATAAAAATCACTGCCCCCCTTCGCTCAGCACCAAACACAACAGCACAGCTACTTACGCAGTGGATGCCCAGTCCCCACAGCTGCCCCCATCCGTAAGCAGATGGTTCCGGTCTGGTCCAGGGGGCCCAAGGGCAGTGGCCGTCGTGGGAGATGGCGAGGAAAGTGAGTCCAGGCTGCTGGGAGGGGTGTCCTCCTTAGGAAGACTGGGACGGTCACCTAGGGAGGAGGAAGAGGCATCAACTTTCAAACAAAAGCTCAGAGCAGGAAAAAACAACTCCATTAATAACTACATGCCCTCACTTGATGAGTCGATCCAATTATAACCAAAATTACATTTACAATGCAGTCTGAGAGGATTTTGGTGCCCTGTCTTCAGGGATTTTGTTTTTTTCCCAAACCAAAGATGCTTAAAATAAATCATAGATAATACAAAATGAGGCGTTTTCTCCCCACAAGAAAAAAAAAAAAGCAATAACCAAAATCAGATCAAGACGGAAGATGAAAGCCTTAATGGCGGCCACAATGAACTTCCTGGTCTCTAAGGAACACAGTCATAAATCAGCGATAACCTCAAGAGCAGTCCAGAGCGGTGCACCAGCCCTGCCGGATCCAGCCTCTTTCTTTCCAGCCACACGATGACTCTTCAAGCTACTGCCAATCACCACTCACCACATAAATTCAACAACCTGCAAGGGACCTTGTTTTCTGAGCTGAAATCTTAGATTACAATTTAACAGCCCAACTGATTAAATCGTGGACAAGGAGAAACTTCCATTTGCTGGTGAACATGAAGATGTTCTACAAGAACTAGGCCCAGGCAGTGACTGCAGGGGATGACTTTTTTTTTTTAAGATTTATTTATTTATTTGGCTGCACTGAGTCTTTGCTGCTACACACAGGCTTTCTCGAGCTGCAGAGAGCGGAACGCCTCTTCATTCACGGGCTCCTCGCTGAGGCGGCTCCTCTGGCTGTGAAGCGCTGGCTCCGGGTGTTTCAGCAGTTGCAGCTCCTGGGCTCTGGACCACAGGCTCAAGAGTCGTGAAGCTCAGGCTTAGTGGTTCTGCGGATCGTGGGCTCCTCCGGACCAGGGATCAAACCCTATCTCCTGCATTGGCAGGCAGATTCTTAACCACTCGACCACCAGACCAGGGAAGCCCCAGGAGACGAATTTACACTCAAACAGAAGAAGCATTTCTTAAATGGGTTCCATGATGTTTTCACTCACAGAGGACCATTTGGTGAAATACGTCTAGTATCATTTGTACACATTATGAGCTTGGGTAGAAAATGCAGAAGGTGGGGAGGAGCTCAGAAGAGCTTCTGTCTCTCTCAACTGGCCTCCTCACCTCCATGGTACCGTCAGCCCACATCACAGCTTGGCCCCTTCGGCCAAAGTCATGGACCCCATTAAATCGTAACCGCTCAAGGGTGCCTTCCAGAGGCAGCAACTTTCTATTAAGACGGCAATGACTTGGCCTTGCTGTTTATAAATAATGGGTCACGAGAGTTGCTCAGCAAACTGCCGTGGCAGCAGATGACACACAATGTGGACGGTCACACCCCAACCACAACAGCTTCCAGCTGATTAAAGCTCCCTTCCTCCTCAGGCCTAGTCCCAGAAACAGAGGATGCGTGAACGCCAGTAACCCGCTCTCAGGAAAGCATCTTACACAGACTTCAGCTCTGCTCATCATGGAGCACAACCAAAATCCCTGGCCTCTGATTAGGCTCACTCCCAAATACCAACCTCGAAAACTGACTGTGTAAAAAATTTTTACTTAACTCTGACCCAGCTTACAACTAAGGCTAAAAGGATCTGAGGAGCGAAGATCTGGAAGAGCAGAATTCAGGCAAGAAGGAATCAGAGATGGTGATGGCTGGAAGAAGGGATCCCTTAAGGAAGCACTGAGCAGGATGAATGGTCCCATGCAGAAGACTCCAGAGAGGGAGAGTTTTCTGAGCTTTTTTCTTTCTTAAACGCATGGTTGGGGAAGGAGATACAATGAGCAAGAGGTGAACATGATCTCTGTAGGCAGGTCTTCTCCCTGAGCAAAGTCTCTCTATAAAAGCCTGGTTCTCTCCCCCCATTCATAAACACACAGTCCAGAATACTGCATGGACATAGAGAGTAAGCATATGGATACCGAGGGGGATGAATTGGGAGATCTATGTACATTACTGATACTATGTATAAAATAGATAATTAAGGAGAACCTAGTGTATAGCCCAGGGAACCCTACTCAACACTCTGTGAAGACCTAACTGGGAAGGAAATCCAAAAAAAGAGGGAGGGGATATATGGACAGCGTCCATGTCGCTTTGCTATACAGCAGAAACTAAAAACAGTGTAAAGCTACTATACTCCAATAAAATTTTTCTTAAAAAAAAACAGAATACCATACGCTTCCTCTTCCAGTGAACTTTCTTTTCCTACAGCCCTTCACCACAAACACATTTAGCTAATTGGGATAATTCGGCCCCGAAGAGAAGGGCTCATTTTCAGGCAAGCGAACCGAAACCCACTGCTAGATTTCTGTGATTTCCTTTTGGGTTATTTTCGTTCTGGGATACAGTCCACTCTGCAGCAAAAGCTGCTTCTCCCTCTGTGCCCGGAGAGCTCCGTCCGTGCAGTTCTCTGCGAATGAGACCTGGAGCGCCAGCTTTTCCCCGGCCCTTCCGGGTAACACTCAGCCATCCTGGGCAACCACTCCCTTTAAAATTAAGACGGCCTCTTGCGCAACCACAGCACAGAGTCTAAAGCAAACTCTGAAATGTTTTCTGGCATGACAGCTGCTAATTCGGGGTTTGGCTAGAAGGTGCAAATGGGGACCAGGTCTGCAGTAGGACGGGGTAACCTCCACAGTGGGTCACACGCCAGCAGCTTCCTGGCGGGAGGAGGCTAGGTGCTGGCCCTCTGCTCTCTGGGCCACGGGCCCTGTTTCCAGGGCAGGGCCTGACCCAGCGAAAGCAGCAAGCAGGCCTGTTACTCCCTGCCTCATTCCTACAGGGAGAAAGCTGACAATGAGAAGGAGCTTGAGGAACTGGAGCCCAAGGTCCCAAGTTCCTTCCAAAAGGTACAATGCCTGAAATGTTCACACAACCACAGACACTAGGTCATCACCAGCGCCTGCACTTCTGTCCCCAAGCAGACTGACCCAGCACACGCTGTCACCCAACATATTAAATCACACGCCAGTAAGAGAATTTCTCCCTTCCTTCTGGCCAAATGGTGGCAAATCTGAACTCTCAAGTGAAAAAAAAAAATACTGATACAAGGGCATAGGCATACACAAACTGATCAAAGAGCTCCCTTAAAATTCCCTCCTTTCTCACTGTTTAGGAAAGAGCTTTTCTACTTAAGAATCACTGAATTTGAGGAAACGTTAATATCAGGCATGAAAAGTTAAATATTCTAAAACTTTAGTTTACCAACACCAAATGACTTCTTTGTAACTATTAACAGTAGGAAAATGATAAAGCTTTAAAAAATTCTATGTTCAACAATATCAGGAGTAAAGACTTTAAATCCTCTGAAGCTCACTTGTACTTGAGAATTAAGGTCAGACACCCTCATCATTTTTCACCTTGCATTTCTGCAGAGTGTCACACCACTTCTTTGCTTAGGTGCTACCCATCAACAGGCATCTCCAGACAGACATGTCACCTACGAGCAACCAGGCTGAGCTGGGCACGTGAACCAGAATGGTGCTGAAGGGCTTTCGTTAGCAACAGACTCCAAGATGAGAAAGGCACTAGAACCACCAGCATCTAGAAGAGAGAATGACTTCCTCACAACCCCCAGATTAATCCCCACCTCCTCCATAAGCTCTTGCCAACCACGTTTTTTGCCTGTTCTCTCCTCTCTCACAACAGCAAGCCACAGTCAAGTTTACACTGCACTGTCAATGCTTCCACGACCTGATTTCAGCTCCCCGCCACTGTTACACATCTTCTGAGGGTGGAGACCGCCTCTCATCTCGGTAACCCTTACGGAACTCAAGGCAGTGCAAGGCAAATCAGGAGGCTTCAGGAAATACTGACTGTGGACTCACTGCCAGAGAAGAGATCATGATATTGCAACGCCAATACCTCCAGGAATTAACAAGGGAAAAAACCTACAAACCTCAAAGTAGTCCTGTTATAAAATCTGCACACAGTTTCTGAGGATTATCCTCTCCCTTTTCAAGCCACAGATATCAGTCATCCTCTTTCTTCAATTTGCTGAGGTTCTGCTTACATACAGTAAGTCCCGGACATACGACCCTTCAAGGTGTGAATTTTCAAAGATGCAAATGTGAGTTCCATCAATGTCAGGCCTGAGTGAGACTGCAGCTTGCCCTCTGTCTCTTATTGCTGACAGTCCTTCAGTTGCACCATCTCCCACCTCCTCTCCCTCCCCTAGTCCGTAACGCCTCTTGATGCCAGCTCTTGTACTGTACTACTGTACTTTCCAAGGTACTCTACTGTTAAGATTAAAAATGGTTTACTTTTTGTGTTTATTTTTTAATGTGTTATTTGTGTGAAAGTTATGATAAACCTATTACATCACTGTACTATGTAGCTGACTGTGTTGGTTAAGTACCTAGGCTAACTTTATTGGACTTACAAATATGTTCTCAGAACACAACTCATTCATATGTAGAGGACATGCTGTACAAGGCTCACTACCCTCAAGTCCTTGCCTTAGATAACTGGGTGAATGTAGAATTACCCATTGAAACAGGGAATGAAAAGCAAGGAGCAAGGGAGTTGGGTGTGGGACATAAATAAAACCAGTTGTGGACATGTTAGGTTTGAGGGATTAGTAAAAGATCCAGGGGATCTGGTTAAACAGCTCCAGAGCCCTGGAGAGAGGTCTGAGACAGTTTCATTGATGTGAGAGGGATCTGGGTAGAGTTGAAGTCATGGCATTGGATGGAGAGAGCAAAGGAGAAGATGTAAAAATGGAAGAGAACCCTGGAGGAACTTTAGAGTAAGGAGCAGGCTTCTCCTTATTGGTGGTGGTGGTGTTTATTGCTGTTATTCTGGTAAAGAGAGAGAAGTGTTGTAAGTATTTAGGACTTCCCCCTAGACATAGACTCGCATTTAAAAATGGACCAAAAAAAAAAATTCACGAAGACATGCCTTTCATGCCAGCTACTGGGATGGCCAAAAAGTTCATTTGAGTTTCTCTGTTACGGCTTCTGGAAAAACTCGAACAAACTTTTTTGGCCAAC